CCCCAAAACCCCAAAACCCCAATACCCCTGTGATAGAAATTCTAAACAATTGTAAATATATAAATTTGTATTAAAATATAAGAACATGAATGAATGATGAATAATAGTAAAGTTAGCAGCATTAAATATCTCTCTTTCATTTATCATCATGAATTCCAACATGACTTTCCATCTCTTGGATTCTTCTCTGAAGACCTAGCAGTTTTTATTGCATGGTATTGCTTTCAACTTGCAGATTCTTGATTTAATAGTGAAGTCTGCCAGTTTCAGTGTGCTGGTTATCTTTGTTCCTCATCATATCATTTCTCACTCTAAAACATTAAAATATGACATTAGTTAATACCTTTTTTCTTCATTCTAGACAGTCTTTTTGGCATCATCAATCTTCATTGATAGCACAGACTCAAGAGTCTCCTTTTCAGATTTAATCATGCCTACTTGCTGCCTGTGATATTTAATTTCTGTTATTATATCAGACAAGGTGTTCTAAAACATGAATTTTTAACTGACACAATTATAATGAGAATACCTCCATATCTGAGAGATGACTTCTAACTGAGAAAGCATCTCCACTCGCTTAAGTAGTGCCGTAAGCAAAAGCTTTGCCATTAGCATTTAAGTTTGATCCTTGGAATCCTATTAATTGAATAATTAATTTACACAACTGCTGTATAGTCTACTTACTACCTTAACTATTGCTGCTTTGAATTGATCTGGGATTGCTCTTCGGGCCTTAAGTTAATTAAGCAGGGGTTGTGAGTTTAGTATTTGCACCTCCAGCTGAAAGATAATTCTAACCCAACTGCTACTTTTGAGAAAAAGCCATTAAAATTATTTTATTTTTCTTAAATAATTATTTAAAAAATATGTTAAATTATCATCCATTGGTAGCTCACGGACACCAAGGCATAGTTTAAGCATTTTAATAACAAAAGGTATTACTAAACATTAAGTGATAGTATTTTATTGTAGAAAAGATTGAAATCAGTCGATAAACCCACTAATGTTAGTTAGGCTCACAATATCTCACAACTTTCAAATTACAGTCAAGTTCAATTTCCTGATGAAATCGATGAAAATAATATAACTCATAAAAATTCCGATGACTTCAATAACACTGACACAAATTTTCATAATGATAAGCTAGCTTAATTTTTCTCCAAAAGACATTCAGATATCAAGAATAGCACAGCCCAAAGCTCAGTAGTTGCTTAGTCATGACTGAGAAACTTGTCAGTATCAGCAGCAGAGAATTATGAAAACCTAGAGGGCTTAGGAAGCAATGCAGATAATGACCACTCATAACAACTTAACAATTTTCACCAGCTGCAACAGCAATAAAATCTGAAAAAAATAAGTAAAGTAATGCATAAATGACAGCAAATGGTTCAGAAAATCTACTATAAAACACCTCGTAGATCAAATGAAAAAGCGAAGAGCCCAGTCAAGTAAGTATATTATAGTATTTATCATAATTTCAGCTTGCCACCTTTAAACTAAGCAGATGAAGAAAACAATACTATGATAGAGACTTCAGTCGAGTATAAGAAAAAGTCTATTTCTTAGTTGTAAGTGTTTTACTTTGCAATATATATTTTTATAGAATTTTCACCCCACTTACAAATAATACTTCATATAACACACACTTAATGAGAGTTATAAATGAGAGTAATTAAAACATGAGTTCATCTTCAATTGATAAATTCAATCCTATGTCAAACTAAGCTCCTTAAGTTAATAAAATTCGATCTCAGACTAATCATCATTACAAGAGAATAAAGAAACTACAGAAAAGTGGCTATTCAAATCATGAGTATGCTAGGCAAATTAAATAAAAGCAATTTGGAATGATGGTTCCCGATCTTAACAAGCAAAGTGATTCAAATATATAAATCGAGAATATTGATAATCTGTAGCTATAACAATAAAACTTTAGCCTCAATGATCCGATGACTTTTCATAATAATGAGTCAGTGACGATTAATAATAACATCTTAAATGACTTCAGGTCTACTAAGGAGTCTAATTTCTTCAGAGACAGCTAAACAAAGCCGACAAGTAGTTAAAGTACTTCCATATTTAGAAGCACAGCTCATGCTAATGGCAAAAAGACGATAAATTAACAGATTCAGAAACAAACTAAGCAGGAGATACTTGAACTTTAAATCATTAAGAAATAACTTTTAGATGATATATCAAATCTTAAACAATAACATCAGTAGCTTTAAAAATAAGAAGAGCCCTAAGTACTAAAAGAATTTACCTTTGACGAGGGTTAGATAGGAGCAAAAGACTTTTAAAATTTTACAAAAGAAGAGCTTTTGCAAACACTTATATTATCTAGAGAAGAAGTAGTAGCTCTAAGACTATAAATCTAAAAGTCTAAACAGCAAAATGATGATTTGAATAATCGAATGGATAAATTGGCTATAAGTAGAAATAAGTAGATGCACAGCTCCAAGTCAAATAGATCACCAAAAACAAATATGACTAATACAACTTAAAAAAAATTGCTAACTAATAAAAGCCTTAGTGGTCACACTGTACTTAAGAATCATTCAAGTAGTTAGTCACTAACACCCAAATTTTCCTAAAACCACAATAACAGCACTATTAGAGATAAATCTAGTACAATTATCTAAGTAGAGCAATTAAAAAGTCAGTATGAGAAAAGCCAAGAATACTATATGAAAAGTTCAGTCGGTGTCAACACAGATTATTATTAATAAAGGCATAAACTAATATAAACAGACCAGATAGTTACTATGACAAAGCAACCAGAATTTCAAGCTTAAAGCTTATTATTGAGTAAATCGGCTACAGAGGAGGACTTATAAGGCATGAAATCATCTAGAAGTGAAAATGAATAACTTTCCTAAGCTAAACTGATGTTTTACTACAAAGAAATAGTAAGTTTTTCCTATTTAAATTTTAATATTTTGAATATAGCAACGAATGGAAGCAAATCATAAATCTGAAATGACTATAATGAGGCAAATGAATGAAGAGTTAACAGAGTAACTGATAAAACTAAGCTCTTAGCTAGATGAAAAAATGCATGTATGACTTATTACCAATTTCAATTTATCTTTTAGGGATCTTCTTTTCATCTAGAAAGCCAAGATGAAAACGATTTGAGGCATAAACCACTTAGTAATAAAAACAGTCATAAAAAGTTGATTAGTCATAGCAGTCATGCTAGTTTATAAAGTCTTAAGAGAAGGGAAAGTATATAGAAAATTAAAGATATGAGAAGACCAACTCATAAAATAAACCCTTCAATATTTGCAAATATATCCAGAGAAAATAGCATGAATAAATAAATTAACAGTCAAAAACATCCACTACGAAAGCCAAGCACTTAAAAAAATATACCTGCTTTTAAGAGTAAGTAATGAGAAGTCCAACACACAATAAAATCAGCTATAAGTATATGAAGTATAAATATTTTACGACTATTTTGAATTAACCAAGCATTTTAAATTATCCAGTTTTACCAAAATTTAATTAGTTCTTTAAATATTTATAAAATTCCGTTAAGTTAAACTTGCTTGAAGATGGGGTTTTGGGGTTTTGGGG